CCCCCCCCCCCCCCCCCCAAAGTTCTGATGCACAACAAAATTGATAAAGGTCATGTCATTCGAATACATTTTGTTTTGAGATGATTTGTCTTTGTTATGGTTTTCGCCAAGTGTATATCGAAAAAACCTGTACCCATCATTCATAAAGAATAGGAAGTCCCACGACGAAAAGTGGGGTTGATACCTAAACTCGAAGGGCGGTTTTTTGTGCCAGTCTATGTTGCGCAGACTCTCCAAAATATGAGGCCTCGCCCGTGTCGGATCCTCCAATAATACATTATTTTTTGAGGACCCGACACGCACCCGATAACATTTTTGGAGTGTCCGGGCAACATAGGCGCCAGTTGCCTTAGGTTAATTTCATATAGGAATCAAATTGAAGTCTTAAGGGCCACAAGTAGTGGTCCTAGTTTCCATTTGATAGGCGCCTTTTGGGATAAAAATTCAAGGTGACAAAACAATGAGTCCCAAAAGCCTTGAGGTGGTCCAGAGAGATCCGGGCAAAGCGAGCAATACCTGTCATGTTGGACTTTGGCCATGATAGAAAGAGGCTGCATCTATTCCTATATGGTATGTGTGCTTCATTTGGCAGAATGTCCATATTTGTATCTTTCATTATTATTTAATTCCTCAAAATATATATACAGATTCAAGAAATTTCTTATCGATTAGTAATTTTTTCCTCTTAAACTTGTGATCAAGCGTACTTTGCTCAATATAATTGAGCGGTATTCTTAGTCCACTATGATATGAAACCGAGAGCATATTGTATAGGCTTCATTACTGTGATATATAATGGGTCCTTCTTGTTAGTCATTGTCATGGTCTAAGTCCAACGTGGCGGGTATTGTCCCTATTGGCCCGATTCCTCTGTGCCACCTTAAGGCTTTTGGGCTTCACATTTTGTCCCTTCGGCCGGACCCCTTTAGGTCATCTCAACGCTTTTGGCATTTGTCATAGCACAAGTCCAATATGACAGCAATTTTTGCTTTGATACGATCCTTTGAGCTACCTCCAAGCTTTGAGTGTCATGATTTTTGTACTCTTACGCCTTTAACCCAAAAGTCGCCTACCAAGTGGAGACCTTGGCCATTATTTATGGCTATTAACCCTTCCACTGATTCTGATGTGGGAATATCCCAAGGCAAGTGTCAAAGCGACCCCTCTCCCCCGACCCTCGAGTTCAAGTGTTAGCACCCCTTTGGCGGCAATACTTTCTTATCTCTACAGATAATGGATAAATTGTTTGCTGAGCATGAATATCTAGACATATACTTTAATATTGAAGATTTAGAACATAGACGGACCTTTTTCAACTACACTGTGTGATGTTGCAATCAATTGTTTCGGGGAGGGGCGTAATATTGTGAGAATGAAGTTGAACTCTTTATAGCTTGAACCCCCCCCCCCCCCCCCTTTGTCTTTGATTTTTGTTCTAGAGTTGCTTTTTGCAATGCATCTCTTGTTTCCTCTGTGGGATAGTAAATTTGATCACCTTGTTTGCGTTCTCCGACGTCGTATCTTGAAGGCTAGCTACATTAGCCAACTTAATTGGTACAACCGCAAGTTCATTGCATGATTTAAGAACAAGGTACTTAAGTTTTTGAAATTGAAGTTTTACAACCTTAGATCTTTCCTTTCAATCGATAATACTTTAAGCTGGTTAAAACCCCAGTTTATTTGCCTCGCTCCAAACAAATCTTGTATCTGATAAAGTTAATTTTTTCAGATTGCGTAGATAATTGAAGAATGCTAGAGGAAGGTGAAGAATTTTGCTTATTAAACCAATATCATTCAACTACTTTAAATGTTTCAAAGAACTTAGATTTTCCAAACTGCTGAAACCATCCTAGTTAATTAAAATTCAGTCATTTGCCCTGGAATACTCACTTTTCTAACAAAGTAAATTTCTTCGGCTTGAATAGAGACACGAAGAATGTTGGAGGAAGGTGAAGAACATTGCTCATATTGTTCGATAGCTTCAAAAGTTCATCAGACAAAAGATACTTCTATGAATCATGAAAGTGTAAGCTACATCGACACAGTTTATAAAAATGATCATCGAGGCTCTCACTGGTCTACGAAATACATGTTCAGTGCATTCAATTTGTATTCATCAAATGGAGAGGGTTGATTTATTGTGTGAATAGACAACAACAACAAACCCGGTAGTTTCCCACGAGTGGGGTCTGGGGTATTGTGTGAATAGAGTACATTAGAAATGTAATATAGAATAATGTGTATAAGTGTCTCACATCAGGTGATATAACCATATAAATTGAGAAGTGTGAATCTAAAAGGATTCAAGCGTAAGAACAGTGTTGAGTTGTCCCACATCGGAGGGATTTGAGGTCCTTGGTCTCCTTATATGACTTGGGCAATCCTCACCTCATAAGCTAACTTTTGGGGTTGAGTTAGGCCCAATGTCCATTCTTATCAAACGGTATCTTTGCTCATACTTTCAATCTATTCTTCTGTGTATCTTCTCACATTCAAATTATCAGTTGGTCATGTTTATGTAAAATCCATCTCATATTCAAATAGAAAATTCTGGCCAACTTGAGAAGATTGTATGAAAAGGATGTTGTATTAGCTTTCAGTTTGTTAGTTTGACAACTGTAACTAAAGTAGCTTACTAGTTAATCAAGAAGATTGTGTAGCTAATATCAGTGTCTCTATTTACTTAATTTATGTACAGAATGTTATATTAGTTGATGTTTAGAGTGATTAGTTCACTAATTTTGCAACATTGATATCTTGCAGTAGAATATCTGGCTGTTCTAAAGTAATTAAAACGATCTTAAGCCTTCAACATGCTAAGCTAGCGTTTGGACATAGATTTGATTGAAACTTGAAAGAAGAGTTTTTGAATTTGTGCTGAAAAATTACTTTTAAAAGTTGAAGTTGTGTTTGTACGTGCATTTTATTTGAAGAAAAGTTGAAGTTTTGTGAGTGGAAGAAAAAATCACCCAAAAACTAAACCAGTTTTTTGGAACTTGGAAATTTTTGAAATTGTTTTTCCCAAAATATGATTATATTTCACAAACAGTGTTTTAAAAAAATGAGGCCAAAATCTATGTTCAAAATCTATGACACTTGAAAGGGTGATCCAGAATATTAGAAAGAAGAATACCCACAACTTGACTAGTAAAAAACTACTCCATTGTACAATTTATAAGTGATGATCTGAAGAGTGTTATTGAATATGCTGATTTACAGTATTGTTTGTATATGATTATCATGATCTTACTTCAGCAGTTGTTCTGGTTGCTAGCAGAGCGGATCTAGCTTAAAAATTACGGGTTTACGTGAATCCAATAGCTTTTATCTAGACCTTGTATATGTATTAAAAATTCACTAAACCTAAAAATATCTGATTGTTAATCCAAGTGTTGTTGTGTATTAATTTGAGGTTGTTGTAGGAACCCATAAATTTCAAAATCTAGATATCTCGGGTTGATGGATCATATATATCTAGTAGAGGGGGGAAAATATATAATTTGGTGGTATCTTGGAATTAATAGGTTCATGCCGTTGCCTAAGGCTAGAAGCTCACAAACAGCCATGGCAAACATCCTAACCATACACCAAAACTATTCTTCACATTTCAGTCCATTACTTCAGTATAAAAACGAGGTTTTAAGTTCACTTTTTATCACGATCCAGATTTCCCACCCTCGGGAGTCGTGATGGCGCCTACTAGTGAAAGCTAGGCAAGCCGACAATTACAGATTTTATTATCCTTTTTCCTTATCTTTTAACAAATTCACAAGTTAACATATGATCAACAACAGAATAAAAAGTGCGGAAGACGAAATCCAACAATTTAACTTAATACAAATACGGTTCCACAAAGTAATCCATCCAGAACTGGTGTCACAATCTCACGGACTATCTAAGAATACTACACATAGGGTCTGAACAAAGAAAAAAATACATGTCTGTCTCTGAAATAAGTAAGAACAAAAGGAAATAGGATAGAAGGGGACGCCAAGGCCTGCGGACGTCTGCAGGACTACCTCGGGTCTCCGCTGGACTGAAGGCTGCAACCTCACTGTGGTCTAAATGCTCCAGCACCGGGATCTGCACACAGTGCAGAGTGTAGTATTAGCACAACCGACCTCATGTGCTGGTAATTTCGAGCCTAACCTCGGCGAAGTAGTGACGAGGCTAGGACAAGAATACCAAATAAATCTGTGCAGTTAAATCATATACGATAAATAATGATAACAGAAACTAGCAGTTAAAGATGGGAAGGGGGAACATGCTGCGGGAAATATCAAGTACTACCAGAATTTCAGCAGAGAAGCACAAAGAACACCATAATTTCATATTAGCAAGAATAAGGAAAACAGTAACAAGTGCACGGCATCACCTTTCGTGCTTTTACTCTCGTTCTCACCATAAGAATCAATATTCACTTTTATTCTTTCTTGTTGCGGCGTGCAACCCGATCCCAATCATATAATACTGTTGCAACGTGCAACCCGATCCCAATCATATAATGATGTTGCAGCGTGCAACCCGATCCCAATCATATAATGATGTTGCCGCGTGCAACCCGACCCCACCTGTCCACCCTTATTACTCCTTGTTGCGGCGTGCAACCCGATCCCGTATAATATTGTTGCGGCGTGCAACCCGATCCCAATATACAAATCAACACCAATCACAAAAGAATCCCGTCAAGGGAACAATAGTATAACAACAATATCCCGGCACGGGAAACAATATCATAAACAATAACATCCCGGCAAGGGAAACAACAATATATCTCATCTCGTTTCCACAATCACTTCACAACATAAGTCTCAACTTGAGCCATTGCTCAACAATGGTCAATTACCAAGAATACTTTCATAAGCCTTGTTCAACATTTATAATCATCATATTAAGCATGGATAATAGATAATGGAATCACAACAATCATAGTATAAGACTCACGGGCATGCTTGACACCAACGTATAGATACTCGTCACCACACCTATACGTCGTACTCAACACTTAACACATAGCAAATAAGATCACAACTCCTATTCCCTCAAGCTAAGGTTAGACCAAACACTTACCTCAATGCCACGAACACAATCAAGCCTCAACTACCGCTTTACCTCTTGATTTTACCACCAATTCGCTTGTATCTAGTCACAATTTACTTAATAACATTAATAAATGCTAAATAAACCAATTCTAATGCATGAAAATAGGTTTCCCAATGTTTAACCGACCCCAGGCCTGCTTCGTCAAAACCCGAAGTTCGAACCAAGACCCGATCACCCATTCACCCACGAACTCAAATATATAATTTGTTTTGAAATCGAACCTCAAATCGAGGTCCAAATCCCCAAAATTTGAAAATCCTAAGTTCTACCCAAAATCACCCAATTTCCCATGGAAAACCCTTGATTTTGAAATGAAATCATATAAAAAGATGGATTAGATTAAAAGAAATGAGTTAGAAATGACTTACAAATGATTTGGAGAAGAACCTTCTTTGGAAAATCGCCCGAGAGAGCTTAGGGTTTGAAAGAGTTGGAAAAATGAAGAAAAATCCGTCTAAGTTATAATTTACACAGGTGTAGTTATCGCATTTGCGATGTCAGGTTCGCAAATGCGAACTCGCAAATGCGGCCCAGGCTTCACAAATGCGAAGGTAGGCCTGCCCTGTTTACTTCGCAAATGCGAACTATCGTCCGCAATTGCGATCACTGTTGGAGTCGCATTTGCGACATGGAGCTTCGCAAATGCGAAGGTCCCCTTACATGCCCAGTCGTCGCAAATGCGATGGTTAGTCGCAAATGCGAGCTCGCATTTGCGATGCGAAGCCTGCAGACCTGCAACATACCAGCAGTTTTTTTCCTAAGTTCAAAACACTCTACGGCCTATCCAAAACTCACCCGAGCCCTCGGGGCTCCAAACCAAACATGCACGCAAGTCCAAAAACATCATGTGGACTTGCTCATGCGATCAAATCATCAAAATAACATCAACAATTATGAATTCAACCTCAAATTCATGAAATTACTCAAGAATATCAAAATTTTTATTTTCTCAACTAAAGGTCCGTTTCATACCAAACGAACTCCGATTCTTACTAAATTCCACAGATTCAACTAAATTATTATTTTAACCCTGTACCGGGCTCCGGAACTAAAATACGGGCCCGATACCATCAAATTCAAACATCTTTAAATTTCCAGAAACTCTTAAATTTTCAGTTAAACAATTTCTTTCAAAAATTCATTTCTCGGGCTTAGGACCTCGGAATTCAATTCTAGGCATACGCCCAAGTCCCAAAATTTTCTACGGACCCTTCAGGACCGTCAAATCACGGGTCCGGGTCCGTTTACCCAAAATGTTGACCGAAGTCAACTTAATTTCAATTTTAAAGGCAAAATTAGCAATTTCCTCAAATTTTCACATAAAAGCTTTCCGGATATACACTCGGACTGCGCACGCAAATCGAGGTGAGACAAAAAGAGGTTTTTAAGGCCCAGGAACACAAAATTGACTTACAAAACGAGTGATGACCTTTTGGGTCATCACATTCTCCACCTCTAAACAATCGTTCGTCCTTGAACGGACATAGAAAAGTACCTGAGTCGGAGAAAAGATGGGGATATCGGCTCCGCGTATCGGACTCGGACTCCCGGGTCGCTGCCTCAACAGGCTGACCCCTCCACTGAACACGAACTGAAGGAAAACTCTTCGATCTCAAATGACGAACCTGCCAGTCTAGAATAGCTACCGACTCCTCCTCATAGGACAAGTCCTTGTCCAACTGGACAGTACTGAAGTCTAACACGTGGGATGGATTGCCGTGATACTTCCGAAGCATGGACACATGAAACACTAGATGCACGGCTGATAAACTCGGCGGCAACGCAAGTCTGTAAGCCACCTCTCCCACTCGATCAAGAATCTCAAATGGTCCGATAAACCTAGGGCTTAGCTTGCCCATCTTCCCAAGTCTCATCACGCCCTTCATAGGCGACACCCGAAGCAACACCCGCTCTCCGACCATGAATGTCACATCACGAACCTTACGGTCGGCATAAATCTTTTGCCTGGACTGAGCAGTACGAAGCCTATCCTGAATGATCTTAACCTTGTCCAAGGGATCCTGTACGAGATCTGTACCCAACAACCGAGCCTCTCCCGGCTCAAACCACCCAACAGGCGACCGACACCGCCTACCATATAATGCCTCATAGGGAGCCATCTGGATGCTCGACTGATAGCTGTTATTGTAGGCAAACTCCGCTAAAGGCAAGAATTGATCCCACGAACCTCCCAAGTTAATAACACATGCTCGGAGCATATCCTCCAAAATCTGAATAGTACGCTCGGACTGTCTATCCGTCTGAGAATGAAAACTGTGCTCAACTCGACTCGAGTACCCAACTCACGTTGAACTGCCCTCCAGAAATGCGAGGTAAACTGCGTACCTCGGTCAGAAATAATGTATACGGGCACACCATGAAGACGAACAATCTCCCGGATATAGATCTCAGCTAACCTCTCTGAAGAATAGAAGACTGCCACAGGAATGAAATGCGCTAACTTGGTCAGCCTATCAACAATAACCCATATCGCGTCGAACTTCCTCTGAGTCCGTGGGAGTCCAACAAAGAAGTCCATAGTGATACGCTCTCACTTCCACTCAGGAATCTCAATCTTCTGAAATAAACGACCAGGTCTCTGATGCTCGTACTTTACCTGCTGACAATTCAAACACCGAGCTACATACGAAACAATATCCATCTTCATCCTCCTCCACCAATAATGCTGCCGCAAGTCCTGATACATCTTAGCGGCGCCCGGATGAATAGAATACCGGGAACTATGGGCCTCCTCTAGACTCAACTCACGAAGTCCATCCACATTAGGCACAAAAATACGACCATGTATCCTCAAAACTCCATCATCTCCAACTGTAACCTGCTTGGAACCCCCGTGCCGCACCATGTTCCTAAGGACAAGCAAATGAGGATCATCATACTGCCGATCTCGGATACGCTCAAATAATGAAGAACGAGCGCTTGTACAAGCTAGCACACGGCTGGGCTCAGAAACGTCCAACCGCACGAACTGATTGGCTAAAGCCTGAACATCCAAAGCAAGCGGTTTCTCACTGGCCGGAATATACGCAATACTGCCCATACTGACTGACTTCCTACTCAAAGCATCGGCCACTACATTCGCCTTCCACGGATGATACAAGATGGTGATATCATAGTCTTTCAAAAGCTCCAACCACCTCCTCTGCCTCAAATTGAGCTCCTTCTACTTGAATAAATACTGCAAACTCTTATGATCCGTGAACACCTCACATGACACGCCATATAAGTAGTGCCTCCAAATCTTCAGTGCGTGAACGATGGCTGCTAACTCCAAATCATGAACTGGATAGTTCTTCTCATGAATCTTCAACTGCCGCGAAGCATATGCTATAACCTTGCCATCTGCATCAACACCGCACCAAGCTCGCCTCACACTCATCCGACCACCTGAACTGGGCACCTTTCTGGGTCAACCTAGTCATCGGGGCTGCAATAGAGGAAAACCCCTCCACAAACTGACGGTAATAACCCGCCAAACCCAAGAAACTCCGGATCTCTGTAGCTGATGCGGGTCTATGCCAGTCCCGGACTGCCTCTATCTTCTTCTGAATACCCTCTGCTAAACAACGTGACCCAAGAATGCAACTGAACTCAACCAGAACTCACATTTCGAAAACTTAGCATATAACTGACTGCCCCTCAGAGTCTGGAGAACAACTCGAAGATGCTGCTCATGATCCTCTCGGCTACGGGAATAGATTAAAATATCATCAATGAAGACTATCATGAAGGAATCCAAGTAAGGCTTGAACACTCGGTTCATCAAATCCATGAAAGTTGCTGGGGCATTTGTCAACTCGAATGATATCACTAAGAACTCATAATGCCCGTACCGAGTGCGAAAAGCTGTCTTAGGGACATCGGATGCCCTAATCCTCAACTGATGGTAGCCAGATCTCAAATCGATCTTCGAGAATACCTTGGCACCCTGAAGCTAGTCAAACAAATCATCAATCCTCGGCAATGGGTACTTATTCTTGATTGTGACCTTGTTCAACTACCGCTAATCTATACACATCCTCATCGATCCGTCCTTCTTCTTAACAAACAACACCGGCACACCCCAAGGCGAGATACTAGGTCTAATAAAGCCTTTATCAAGCAGGTCTTACAGCTGCTCCTTCAATTCTTTCAACTCTGGCGGAGCCATGCAATATGGAGAAATAGAAATGGGCTGAGTGCCTGGAGCCAAATCAATGCAAAAGTCAATATCCCTGTCTGGTGGCATACCCGGCAGGTCTAAAGGAAATACCTCAGGAAACTCACGAACAACAGGCACAGAATCCATAGAAGGAACCTCAGCACTAGAATCACGAACATACGCCAAGTAAGCCAAACATCCCTTATCAACCATACGCCGAGCCTTCATATATGAGATAACCCTGCTAGTAGAATGACCAGGAGTCCCTCTCCACACCAAACGAGGTAAACCCGGCAAGGCTAAGGTCACAGTCTTGGAATGACAGTCCAAGATAGCGTGGTAAGGTGATAACCAGTCCATCCCCAATATGACATCAAAATCAACAATATCCAAAAGTAACAGATCTACTCGGGTCTCAAGACCCCCAATCACAACTATACATGAACAATGGACACGATCCACCGCAATAGAATCACCCACCGGTGTAGACACATATATAGGAGCACTCAAAGAATCACTAGGCATGACCAAATACGGGGCAAAATAAGATGACACATAGGAGTATGTAGACCCTGGATCAAATAGAACTGAAGCATCTCTACTACAAACTAGAACAGTACCTGTGATAACTGCATAGGAGGCCTCAGCCTCGGGCCTGACTGGAAAAGCATAACATCGGTGCTGGGCCCCACCACTCTGAACTACATCTCTGGGACGGCCTCCTGCTGGCTGGCCTCCACCTCTAGCGGCCTGACCTCCACCTCTAATACCTCTACCTCCACCTCTAGCTCCTTTACCTCCACCTCTAGCTGGCTGAGCGGGCGGTGGAACACCCGGTGCCTGAACCATGGAATGGGAACACTGATGCTGCGACTGAACACCCACTAATCTCGGACAAGCCCTCCGGATATGACCATACTCACCGCACTCAAAGCATCCACCTGAGTGCTGCGGCTGAGGAAACTGAGACTGACCCTGGCGGGCCGGCTGACCATGATGATAGCTCTGAAGAGGAGGTGCTTTGATAGGAGCTGGCTGTCCTGAAGGAGGCACATAGGAACCACGCCCCCCTGGAGCACCGTGAGAAGCCAGTAGTGCTGAATGAAACGGCCTGGAAGGATGGACCCTACCAAAAGAATCCCTGCCTCCAGACGAGGCACCATTGAACCTGCCAGAATGACGGGGCCTCTTGTCAGACCCCTGACCACTCCCCTGTGATAAAACCATCTCGACACTCCTGGCCACATTGGCCGCATCCTGAAAAGAAATCTCGCTCCCCGTCTCCTTAGCCATCTGCAATCGAATAGGCTGAACAAGTCCCTCAATGAACCTCCTCACTCACTCTCTCTCTCTCTCTCTCTCTCTCTCTCTCTCTCTCTCTCTCTCGGTGGAAAGTATCAGAAGAGCATGACGGGCTAAGTCAATGAATCTGGTCTCGTACTAAGTGACGGTCATAGAACCCTGCTGGAGACGCTCAAGCTGCCTCTGATAGTTCTCCCAATGAGTGACTGGAAGAAACTTCTCCAGAAATAGCTGAGAAAACTGATCCCAAGTCAAAGCTGGTGACCCAGCTGGTCTAGCCAAACACTAATCCCTCCACCAAGTCTTGGCGGATTCTGACAGACAAAAAGTAGCAAAGTCGACCCCATTGGTCTCCACTATCCCCATGTTCCGTAGAACCTCATGACAGCTGTCCAAATAATCATGGGGATCCTCAGATGATGTACCGCCAAAAGTGGTAGTACAAAGCTTGGTGAACCTATCCAACGTCCATAAGGCATCAACAGACATAGTTGGCCCCTGACTGGTCTGTGCCACAACACCCGGCTGAACTAACCCAACTGGCTGAGCTGCTGGAGTCTGAAACTGGGGAGTCATCTGCTCCCGAGTGCGAGTAGCGGGAGTCTGTGCTCCTCCCCCAGCCTGAGAGACGACTGGTGCTACAGGAAGTAAGTCTGCTTAGGCGACAATCTCCATAAGGCCCACTAGACAGACCAGAGCATCCTGAAGTACCGGCGTGGCGATGAACCCCTCTAGGACCTGAGCTGGTCCTGCTGGAACTGACATGGCCGGAACCTCATCGTCGAACTCAACCTGAGGCTTCGCCGCTGGTGCTGCTACTCGAGCTCTGGGCTGATCTCTGCCTCTGCCTCGGGCCCTAGCACGGCTGTCACGCCCGAAAAATCGAGGAGCGCGACCGGCACTCAACTGAGTAAACCCGACTGAGCAAGCATGTTAGGTTTCATTCTACCCAAACTAGTTCATGAATAAAGAGGAAATGAACTCCATTAATCATACTTTGTAAATATTTTATTAACAACTTCCATTTTATTTCCATCAGCAGTTTCAGCCATAATGTCCAAAATATTATAATTTTTATAGTTATGATAATGAAAAACATATTTACCAAATGCCAATACTTCTAATTTAATTTCCAATATCAAACACCACTCATAACCTGTCTACGGAGCATCTAAATACAACTGAAGAGTAATATAGAAATGCCGGCAACAAGGCTCCGGCTATACCTCAAAATACAAAGTACATGATAGACAATGATAGAGGACCCCGAAATGAAGTGGGGCTCACCAAGTCAGCTGAAAGGAAGATGCGTCACTAGCTGCGACCAACACTGCCTACTATGGAACCACCTACATCCATTTAAAGATGTAGCGCCCCCGGCAAAAGGGACGTTAGCGCCGTCGAATAGCACTAGTATGTATAGCTAAAAGTCCTCTTTCAAAATAGAATGTCCATATAAGCATAGGCAACACATAGAAACAGCAAGTCACAATCAACAATATCCAAATAACCAATTGAAACATAACGATTTTCAAAGTAAGAAAATAGTATACATAATTTTGGTTGGGAGATCACTAGCACCGATATTTCCACCGTCTTTGTTAGCACGGAGTCCGATCACGCCCGATCGGCTAGGCCATCTCCCCACGGACAATGTGGTTTGACATTATGATGCGAAAGAAAGTTGTCACAAGAGTAATACCACCATGTGCGCAACATGGAGTCTGATCTCCACCCGATCAGCTAGGCCGCCTTCCCACATATGCCGTGTGGGTTGGCTTTTTCTTTTCTAATTCACAGGTATTAATTTCATCCCACTTTGGGGTAATAGTCACAATTTCACCAATATTTCAATTTCATCCCAAATCACACTCCACCCCTACACCGGCACATGTAGTTTCAGGTGTGGGCCTTATGACCCACCCTTCCTCGGTCTTGCTAATGATACTCCCAAAAACATTTTTAGTTTAATTGCACACAAAGATAACACATATATAGAAATGTATTCATCCCAGAATCTTTCACATTGTACAAATCTTTATTAGAATATTCAACCATCCACATTAATAATATTCTCTCGACTCTTTGGGCCTTTCACAAGATTCGTTATTCATGGCACGTTGGCCGCATTCTATATTCTATACTTTCGCTTCTTTTAATTTCAAGGATCATCACTAATTGCCAATGTACAAAGTATTTCAGAAATCATATACCTCAAGTTCATTAGCAATGGAGACTTTAAACATAAAAGGTTTCCTTCCCAAAGATTGGGGCATACCAACCAGCAATAGATACACACATCAAAGTCATAAACAAGCAATACACCAGTTATTCTTGAATTACTCTTTCCCAATAACAACAATGTACAGTTTTCAACACCGGAGTATGTAAGAACTCGAATCACAGTGAATACATTATAAGACAAGGCATTAGTTAAAACAACAACTTATGGGCATGAATTGAGTACCAAAAGCTTTTAGGCAATTCTATTTTCGAAGTCATTTTAAAACAGTTGAGTTGAGGCTCATTTCATAATCTATTTCACATTTTCTCATTTTATAGGCATCACTAGGTACAAATATAACTTAAGTCCTTGGCACGTTATCCACATTCTATTTCCCCAATTCGTTTAATGCATTTTCAATCATCTTTCACTACTAGAAATTAGGTCTAAACCCTTCCAAAACTGTGGCAATAGATACACTAGCCGTCTCTATAGGGCTATCGGAACGGATTTGGAGGTGTTCCGGGATTCAGTGTTACAATAGGTCTATTGGAACGGTTATTTGTAACGGTTTGAAAACCGTCTCCATATAGGGGGTATTGTAACGGTTATGGTACTGTTACCATTGCTCTGTTTATGGGAACGGTTATATTTTCTATTGGGACGGTTATAAACCGTTGTGGTATAATTATTCCAGCGATTTTTTAAGTCTATTGCAACGGTTTTGATGATATATTGCAACGGTTTTTGTGATATTGGAACAATTATCAGTACCCTACTGCAACGGATATTGTTACATATTGCAACGGTTATTAGGGAATGCTATTATTATTTGCTTGGTCTACTAGAACGGTTATATGCTCTATTGCAACAATTCACAATTGAATTTCTGATATTTATGGAAGCAAAATGAGGAATATTTTCCTATGCAATGAAATTTTTTAACTCACAACTTATATAAACCACAAAATAAAATTAAAATATTCAACTAGCATTACTCATATACAAAACCAAAATGTGAATACATTGTTTGATCAACAATTCAAAAGTCAAAATAGATGAGTTTGCATACAAAAAGTTCTAAACCAAAATATCTTTGAAAATGATGATAGAAAGTTTAACAACGATCAACAACGATCAACAACACTCAAGTAAGGTCTTCGTCACTGCTTTCTTCCGCAATCGCTGCACCTACAAAAGACAACCAGAAATAATTAAATAAATTTTTTAAAAGATAATTGAATCACAAAGTAATTGAATGACCAATTTGATAACTCCAAAATTTTCAAACGCTCTAAATTCTTAAATTTTTCGGCAGAGTTTCCTTTGTAAATACGACCATCCCAAAATTTTCAACCTGCTCAAAACATCATTATCCTTGTTGTGGTGCATATCCAAATCAGAAAACATAAGGAGATACATCTAACTAGGGAAGTAACAAAACTATACAGCACTTCTCTGATCAGAAAACAAAACTAGGAAAGTAACAAAACTATATATCCAAATCAGAAAACATAAGGAGATACATCTAACTAGGGAAGTAACAAAACTATATAGCAAGACAAAGGGCAAGACAGCCCTCAGATATATTGGCCAAACACAGGCCTTTGAACTCTTATAGCACTTCTCTGATCATTCATTTTTTCAAAGTTGCTCTGAAACTAAGAAAATTTGAAAATTTTATCCAAACAAAACATACTGTTCTGCTATGGAAACAAGAGGTAGTGATAGGCAATTTTTGCATTGAGGTCTGTCACCACTCGGTTTGCATCACCCTGTTGTAGAAAGACTTGGAATAAACAATGGCTTCTGATAAAACCTTCAACTTACATAGTCATTCAGATGGCGCCACTAGATAGAATTTTCGAGACACTGCAAGTATCTCTTTATTGCTCCTCACACAACTTTTCAGTATTTCAACTATAGAAGGAGACAAACATACAATACATAGTAGTACTCCCTAGATAGATGTAGCAAATAAAACTAGAGGTTCTGGATAGTTCTTTGCAGACTTCGCTAATAACATAACTCAATTCTGTAAATGGAACAATTATAATTCTAACTTTTAGTTACTAGTTAGTGAATCAAATGAGTCTGTTGAACTAATTGATTAGTATTAAAGCCACAATTGGTGAGATTACTTTTGGTGCTTAGTCTTTTGTGTCTATGCATATTGATAGGGATGTGAACGAGAAGCAGCAGATGCTACAAATGGCGTCCGGTTGAAGGAAAGAATGAGAGTATTATGGGCGCTTGTCCATTCCAAACAACCTGAAGATGTGCAACGAGGGATGGCTATGCTTGAGGGTGAAATTTTGTCAGATCTACTTCTCCATTTATGTTACAAGTTGTCTTTTGATTCCCTAGGGCTTCTACGTATTTCATAATATCTAGTTTACAAGTGTTTTTGAATTTCTGATACAACCACCGACTATCTCGTTTCATTGTTTAACTCCTAGTTTCCTTAAGTCTCAATATTCATAAACATAGAGGCATAATGCTCTTAGCAACTTATCTCAGCAGCATCTGATGAATAACTTACCTGAGGGTTCAATTTATGAGAATCATCATCTTTTCTGTTTCTTTTTCCTTTTTTGCAGTTTCACCTGCCAGCTCAAATAGTCCACTACAGAAGCGAGAAAAGCTTTATCTTCTAGCTGTTGGATATTACAGAAGTGGGGAATATTCAAGGAGCAGAGAGCTTACAGGTCACTGTTTGGAGGTCTGCTCCTAATCTTTATGTAGTTGGATCTTGTCATTTATCAAGCGTTTAAAGACAATCAGAATTTGACTTCCTTATTTAGTTCTATTTCTTTCTGTAGTTTCTAAAAGCTTTTTCTTGCTTTGCTAGATTGCGTCCTGTATTGGTAGACAGGTCGTTGTCGC